GGGCCTCCCTTTGTGGGTAACCTGACCTTTCTCTCTGGTTCCCCTTAACATTTTTTCCTTCATTCAACCTTGGTGAATCTGATGATTATGTCTTGGGGTTGCTCTTCTCAAGGAGTATCTTTGTGGTATTCCCTGTATTTCCTGAAGTTGAATGTTGGCCTGCCTTGCTAAGTTGGGGAAGTTCTCCTGGATAATATCCTGAAGAGTATTTTCCAATTTGGTTCCATTCTCCCTGTCACTTTCAGGTACACCAGTCAAACGTAGATTTGGTCTTTTCACATAGTCCCATATTTCTTGGAGGCTTTGTTCATTTATTTTCACTCTTTTTTTCTCTAATCTTGTCTTCTCACTTTATTCCATTTCATTGAGTTGATCTTCAATCTCTGATATCTTTTCTTTTACTTGATCAATTTGGCTATTGATTCTTATGTATGCTTCACGAAGTTCTTGTGTTGTGTTTTTCAGCTTCATCAGGTCATTTATGTTCTTCTCTAAACTGGTTATCCTAGTTAGCAATTCATCTAACCTGTTTTCAAGGTTTTTAGCTTCCTTGCATTCGGTTAGAACATACTCCTTTAGCCTCAAATTCCTGGGCTGAAGCAATTCTTCTCCCTCAGCCTCCTGAGTAGCTTGGACTACAGGCTCATACCACCATAGATGTCTAATGTTTTTTATATATTTTTTATGTATATGAAGTCCTGCCATCTTGCCTAGACTGGTCTTGAGCTCCTGGGCTCCAGTGATCTTCCCCCATAGCTTCCTAAAGTCCTGGAATTACAGGCCTGAGCCACTGTGCTCCCGCCACTTTCATTTTTTAAAAGGACAGTTTCAATAGATGTAGAGTTAGGGGTCAACAGATCTTAAATATGTCCTTCCATTTAGTCTGACTTTTGTTGTTTTTATTGAGAACTGACCTATTTGTATTTTTGTTACCTTGTGTGTAATATCCATTGCTTTCAAAATAGGTTTTCTTCACTATTTTTTTTTTCTATCTGGATTTAAGTGGTTTGTCTATGGCATGTATATTTGTGTTTTCTTTGTATTTATCCTATGTGGAGTTTGTGAGTTAGCTTATTGGATCTGTAAATTAATATCATTAACAAATTTGGGGATGTTTTACTTTTTTGAATATTTTTCTGTCCCATTCTATCTCTTCTCTTCTTTTGGTTCTTCTTCCTCCTCCCATCCCCACCCAGTTTTTAGATTGGTAATTTTTGTTAAGAAGAAACTTTCATTTCTGTCATCTTCAGTTTGCTCTTAATCCTTTCCAGTTATTATTTATTTGTTTTATTTATTTTTTGAGAAGGAGTCTCACTCTGTCACCAGGCTGGAGTGCAGTGGCATGACCTCAGTTCACTGCAACCTCCACCTCCCAGGTTCAAGCAATTCTCCTGCCTAAGCCTCCTTAGTAGCTGGGACTACAGACACACACCACCACACCCAGCTAATTTTTGTGTTTTTAGTAGAGACGGGGTTTCACCATGTTGGTCAGGATGGTCTCAATCTCCTGACCTTGTGATCTGCCTGCCTCAGCCTCCCGAAGTGCTAGGATTACAGGCGTGAGCCACCATGCCCGGCTCTATTATTTTTTAAAGAGGCAGTCTGTCACTCACTCTGTCGCCCAGGCTGGAGTAGGGAGGCATACTCATGGCTCACTGTAACCTCAAACTCCAGGGTTCAAGAGATCCTATTGTCTCAGCCTCCCAAAATGCTGGGATTACAGACATGAGTTTCCACACTCAGCTTCAGTGAATTTTAAAATACAGTTACTGAACTTAGTAACTGGAGAGTTTTGCTTGTTTTCTAATATTTTCAATGTGTTCATTTATCATGCGTACATCCTACATTAAGTTTGTGTATATGTTAATAGTTGCTTTAAAGTAATTATCTGATTATTGCAGTATCTAGGAAATCTTTGGGGTCTGTTTTATTGACTACTTTTTCCCCACTGGAGTATGGGTCACATTTTCCTATTTCTTTGTATGTCTAGTGTTTTTTTACTGAATACTTGGCATTTTGAATGATGCATTTGAGAGATTCCGGATTCTGTTTTGCTTCTTCAAAACAGAATTTTTATTCTAGAAGCCAGTTAACTGGACTGAACTCAGACTCCAAACTGTCTCCTTTCCAGTGGTAGTGCCGAAATCTTCACTTAGTTATTTCATCTTTCAGTGGCTGATTTATGCCATGATTCCTGGGTTTCTCTCCCTTGCCTCACAATTAGGTTAGTGATTAGCACAGGTCTTGGGAGGACTTTATATACATATTTTGGGGTTTACCTCCTGTTTGGCTTCTTCCCTTTTATGAAATCCCTCCTAAATATCTGATAGTTCTGCCAGCATTGAACTCTGTTATCTGATATATCAAGCCCATAAGACCTGGCTTCCTGCCTAACCTACCTCCAGTGGCAAGCACATTTAGCAGTGCCCTGGGTCATAAAAACCACAAATGTGGGCTCACACCTATAATCCCAGCACTTTGGGAGGCTAAGTTGGGTAGATTGCCTGAGCTCAGGAACTCAAGACCAGCCTGGGCAACACGGTGAAACCCTGTCTCTACTGAAATACAAAAACAAAATGTAACCTGGAGTTGTAGGGAAAAAAAAAAGAAATACAAAAAATTAGCTGGATGTGGCAGCATGCACCTGTAGTCCCAGCGACTCAGGAGGCTGAGGCAGAACAATAGCTTGAACCCGGGAGGCGGAGGTTATAGTGAGCCCAGATCACGCCACTGCACTCCAGCCTGGGTGACAGAGTGAGACTTTGTCTCTAAAAACAAAACAAAACAACAACAACAACAATAACAAAGAAACCCCACAAATGTACAAATCTCACCTCTTGCAGATTTGTCCTCCCAGTCACTTTCTCCTTTTGCCAGGGAATGTGTGCCCTCTGCAAGCAAGATAGCTTTCAGATATAGAGGAGTCGAGTTTATTACTGTCAAATTTCCAATCAGATAAGTTACTCTTTCTTTTCCAAGAAGAAGATACTGAGAGAGTGGTTGCGAGGAGAGGAATATATTGTTTGAGCTACATCAACATGGAAGTTGATGTAGGGAAGAGGTATTCTTTCCTGATACTCCCTAGCATTTTGTTCTCCTAATTGATTGAGCCTTCACCTGCAGTCAGTTTAGTAGAGATTAACAGTTTGTCATATGATTGGATTGCTTACAGTTATTTTAAACTTGGGGATGGAAGGAAGGAGGAGGAGGACTGAAAGCAGTTGAGAGCATCGAAAAGCAGAAAGAAACTGGATGGGAAAGAAAAACTAAGTTTCCCTCAAGACACTAGATGTGTCAGAACAGTATAATGCTTATATCAAATCCATGCTCCCTATGTACCCAAATTAAGTTCCCACATTATTTTCGATTCCAAATTATGTCCAGACAAATTATCCAGGGTAACATATTTGGAGGTTTGACAATTAAATGATGACTAATATATACTGCCCAGGAATCTAGGAAGATATCCAAAGGCTAATAATCCAGAGGATATCTGGAAAATTGGCCACTTTGTGGACTTTGCAGCTTGTCCTTGTTCATTTTATGCTTTTTATTTAAATCTACTTTGTCTGATACTAATATAGCTATCCTAATTTCTTTTTGTTAGTATTTATTTAACTGATATATCTTAATGCATATCTTTATTTTTATCTTTTTGTGTCATTTTGTTTTAGATGGATCTCAAATACCATATAGTTGAATTTTTATTTTTATTTTTTATGATTTGAGATTCTTTGTATTTAAAAAGAAGTTTGCATCTATTGTACTAAATGATATAATTGTTCTTCCATCTTCTTGTTTTGTACTGTGTGTTATATTGCCTTACTCCTGTTTTACACACTTGGTCTTTTGCTTTTGCTACAGTTTTTCTGGCTCTTTTGTTTTACCCCTAGTAATTTGGAAATTAGACTTCCTGTTTTTATTTAATTAGTAATTACTTCAAATTAAAAGAAAGTGAACCTCTATTTCGTTACTAACATGAAAAATACAATAGCATCTATTGATGTGCCTGGAAATACCTAATGAGTCACATACTTGAGCATTTCCCTTTTGTTCCTGCTCTTACAGTTTGTTGGAATAATTTGGGCTTTAGATCCAAACTGTTATTAGTATTTCTTCTTTTTAACATATCCTTAAGAAATACGTTTCACATTTGCATTTCCTTATATAGCCATGTTAACCTTCTTAAGAATAACTTCTTAGATATTAATTTTTATGTTTACAGTTTACAATGTCCATCTGTATTTATTTTATAACATATCTTCCCATATACCTAAGGACTTCATTTGTGTAGAATTTATTGGGCATTAAAATATTTCTTTGAGTGATTTTTAAAGAGTATGTCTTGGAATCTTTGCATATCTGAGAATATTTATTAAATGGATGTTTGTCTGACATAGCAATTATAACTATAGGAACTTTTCCTAAGTAACTGATAGTATGTAAAGATATATGTACAAGTTTGTTCATTTTGCAGTTTTATTACAAAAGCAAAACTTAGAAAGTAATAAACATCTATAAATAGATATCAGTCAAATAAAATATCTTTTCTAGGCATAATTGTAAAATCATAAGTTTTATTACCTTTGTCATCCAACTGAAATTAATGTAAATATAATTAATTTTTTGCCTGTTTCTTGTGCAAGTTGAAATTATACATTTAGACCATATAAAGCAAGCATTAGCATGTTTGACTGTGAAGATTAATATTAGGGGCCAGGTGTGGTGGTTCACACCTGTAATCCCAGTGCAATGTAAGGCTGAGACAGATTACTTGAGCCCACATTATAGTGAACTATGATTACACCACTACAGTACAGCCTAAGTATGGAAGGAGACCCTTATTCTTAAAAAGAAATTGCATTTAGTACCTTTTTTCCATTTGTCAGATTGAATATTGGCTAGATAAATGTTTATTATTGCTATATACATTTTATTCTATTATTATATAAACATATTTATTTTTTTTAAGAAGTTCAATTTTAGTCTCTTCATTTTAGTCACTTCATGGATTCCTTTGCACAACCCAGACCAGAAGATAATCAGTCAGTAGTGAGCAGAATGCAAAAGAAATACTGGAAAACTAAGCAGGTCTTTATCAAAGCAACAGGAAAAAAAGAGGATGAGCACTTGGTGGCATCTGATGCTGAACTGGATGCTAAACTTGAGGTAAATTTGAGCATTCTGTGTATTGTCTATTATTTGGGACACCAAAGGGGACTGCAACAGTTTTCAAACTGGAGAGCTTGTGGGGATAAATGCAAATTTGATAATAGAATGTTTAGTTGTAACCAGCTGTCAATTAGAGCTCTGAATAGGAGGTCACAGTTCTCACAAACTGAGAATTTGCAAAATTGGTATTCACTAAATTAGATAAAATATGAATAAAGCAGTTTCTCTGGCACACATATTATAATTTTTAAGCTAGTGAATTAATAACAGTCCCAATTAAGACCATATACTCATTATATATCATGTCATACTGTTTTGTAATACTTTGATGTGAAGTCTTATACCTCATTGAAATAATTAAAGTCAAATAGTGAATGAAGATAAGAGTTATTGTTTCTATTTTACTAAAAGATAGCGTTATTGAAATACTTCCTAATGCCTTTTTTGGCTGTTTTTTATTTTAAATAAATAAATTGCCATGGAACAATTTTAAACCAATAAATGGTTTAATTAGTCTAATTAGAGAAGAGTATCATATAAATGAATACAGAAATCTGAGTTTTAAATGCAGATTTACTAACTCAACATATATATTCTAATTCAAGCTAACTCTTTCAAATATTTCCAAGCAGAGATTTTGTTATGCTTGGAATATAATCATGTGGTAGGATTCTCCCAAATATGGGTCTAATTAAGCTGGTCTTGATCAAGTATTTTCCTCTACATAAAGTAAACATGTCATTGCTGAAACAAATATGGAAATACATAAAAATTTACAAGCTTTTACTGTTTCTGTTGAAAAGTATTCTTAGGATTCAGTGACAAATGTGTAAAAGTGAAGACTGTTATTATTATTGGTGTTGTATGTTCTAACACAACAATATGTTTTTCCAGGTTTATTCCCAGAGAAGTGAGAATGTATGAGGTTTTGATATTGTTTTACATTTTTAGGTCATCTCTGGATGTTTTATATTCAATGTAAATCTGTCCATTAGATAAATATTTGGAATCAACCAAGAACTTTCTCTCACATTTGTACTATTTTTTAAGAATGAGAAACAGTTTTATTATAAAAAGAAAAAGCAATAGTACCTAAATCTTGAAAAGACCTGTGGGGGGGGAGGGAAACAAGCACAATCACTTCATCCTTATAGAACTACCTTTTTTGTATTCTTTTCTAATCTTCTTCCACATTCATTTAAAACAGATTTTACAATTGCCAAATTCAGATACCAAACATATCTAAAATTATAAGGAAAATTGATGCCTTCTCCTCCTTTAATATTTTAGTGTTTATTATCAGTCTTCTGTAGGTTTGATCAAACATCAAAATAATAATAAAACTGCTCTAGAGATAGAATGTGGAGGTTTCTTGTGATATTGGGCATTTGACAATCAAAGGGTTAGGTCTTAATACTGTACAGCAGTACCAAGGTTTTTTTAACTAAGTCACTTAAAAATTCTTCAGTGAAGATGATTCTGGACAGCCCTTGCTTTAAAAAAAATCCTCATTATAGCACTTTGTGAGAAGGCTGTACACTAAAACTTATGCCAGCTTATTTAACTGGGAACACCTACATTTATTTGTGTAAAGAGTTACGTCATGTGTATAGTGTGTCCTCAACTCAAATTTTCATGTGCTTAATTTTGAAATGAGAGACTACTGGATATTTTCTTTTCTGTTAGCAATTAGCAACAGTAGTAATCAAATAATTAATATCTATGGGAAATTCTAAACAAAAAGAATCTAAAAATAATTTATATTTGATGTTGTAATACATTATTTAACTTTTATAGTAAATTTACTAATCTGTTTTGCTTAGACCAATATGGAAGAAAAGCCAAGACTTAGAGTTAACACTTTCTAAGGTTATCTGTACTCTGTTCATCTATGGTTGGCAATATTTGATGCAGTTTATATTAGATTTGTCTTTTTGTTATTTAGATAGTTTGGGGCTGAGATGAAGACAGACTCTTCAGTTTTAATTTTTTCTTTACTCCCCTATATTTATAATCATTTTTTCCAACTCTCATGGGGGAATGTACTTACTACATCAGACATATAACAAAAATTGAAGTATGTCAAAGCCAAGGAAAAATAGATATAATGTTTTTAAGATAGATATAATACCTAAAAGAAAATGTTATGCTTTTGAAGTGCTTATAACATACATTTGTTTATGGTTCTTTAAATTGTCTTAATATAATTTATATTTCAAGGTTTTTCACTCCATTCAAGAGACATGCACTGAACTTCTGAAGATAGTCGAGAAGTACCACTTAAGACTCAATGGTATGAAATTATAGATATCTGTATGATAATATTTGTTAGTATTTTTTAAAATTAAAGATTTAATGTAAAAGTAGTAAAACTATTTTGTGAATAACTTCTTATGGCAAAATATGAATATTTACAGTGACCTGTTCTCAAAGGCCCCAGTATTCTGTCCCTTTTTCCTTAGTTAATCAAATCCTCTGACCCAGATTTATTTTTTGCTGATATTCTTTTTTCCTTTGAGACAGGGTCTTCCTCTGTTACCCAGGCTGGAGTACAGTGGTGTGATCACAGCTCACTGTAGTCACCACCACCTAGGCTGAAGTGATCCTCCCACATCAGCCTACCAAGTAGCTGGGATTACAGGCCTGTGCCACCATACCTGGCTAATTTTTGTATTTTTTTGTAGACACAGAGTCTCACTATGCTGCCCAGACTGCTTTCAAACTCCTGGCCTCAAGTGATCCTCCTGCCTCAATCTCCCGAAGTGCTAGGATTACAGGTGTGAGTCACCATGCCCGGGCCTGCCAAGCATCTGAAATGGATTTGTTTCCATCACTTAAACCTCTTTCTCTTGACTCCCACTTGCCCTTGCAGTTAAATTCCATTCCTCTGCTCCTCTTTGCAGAAAAATGTGATGTAATTATCTGTATGCATGGTCTCTGTTCCTTTCCTTCCACTTTCTCTTGTACTCACTCCAGCCAAGTTTTATCTCCATCACCCTACTAAATGTCTCCTGTCGGGGTCATGATTAGCTAACTCCTGTCTAAATCTGGCTTATCACATTATTTAACACAGTTTATTATTTCCTACTCCTTGATACACTCTCTTCATTTGGCTTTCCTGGTTTTCCTCCTACTGGTCACTCCTTGGCATCCTGCCTTTGCCAATTCTCTTCTCTTTTGGACCTGTTCAGGTTGAAACTCAATCTTTGTATCTCTTCTCCTTTTTTAATTACAGTGGACCTACTGGACATGGCTACCTCTCTAATTACACGTCCTAAAAACCTCCTCTTTAGCCATATTAATATCTTATACAGTAGGCATATCTGCATAGTGGAATCTCTAACTTCCTTTGGGTATTTGGTCAAGTGTCATCTTTTCAAATGAGGCCTTCCCTGAACTGCATATCTAAAATGTATTACTCCCTGCCCTCAGAGGGCACAAAAAATACAATATCCCTTTCCCCCAAAACTCCCTGAACAGTTAACAGTATTCAACATTCTATGTATTTATCTGTTGTTTTTCTTCATATCACTAGATTATACCTTCCTTAAGGACAGAATTGTAATGTTTTGTTTATTTCTGTGCCTCCAGTCTAGAAACAATGTCTAGCAGATGGTCAGTACTCAATAAATATTTGATTTCAGTGAATCAATAATTTTTCTCATGTGGCTATGTAAATTAATCTCATTGCTTTATAATCAAAGCTTATACATTGTCCCATTAAGTAAAGAAATCCAATAAAGCATGCTTATTCAAGTTGACTTTTTTTTTTTCGAGTGGAGTCTTGCTCTGTCACCTAGGCTGGAGTGCAGTGTGGTGCAGTCTTGGCTCACTGCAGCCTCCATCTCATGGGTTCAAGCAATTCTCCTGCCTCAGCCTCCTGAGTAGCTGGGACTACAGGCGAGCGCCACCACACCCAGCTAATTTTTGTATTTTTAGTAGAGATGGCATTTCACCATTTTGGCCAGGAAGGTCTTGATCTCCTGACTCGTGATCCACCTGCCTCCCAAAGTGCTGGGATTTACAGGCGTTGAGCCACTGTGCCTGGCCCCAAGTATTCAACTACCTACCATTTGCTTTTCTCAAGGAAATAGTTGAAAAAACAACTTTTTGTAACAAAAAGAGAGATGATACAAGTAGTATGTAATTGAGTTCAGAATAATGATACAGACATAACTCTGAATTCCTAAAAGTGAAAAATAACTGTGGTTAAGAGTAATTGGTAATGGGAACTCCATAGATAGGAATTGAGGTAAAACTTTAAGGATTTATAGAAGTTGAACATGTAGAGAAAAGAAGAGACTTGGAGTTTAAAGAGCTTAAAGAATGAGAACAGCCTGCATGGGCAGAAGAGTTCGTTATTGAAACTAATGGGAGGATAAAGAAACAAAGGAAATTTGGGGTTCAGATTACTAAGCAATAAATGGCCATCTGGCCATCACAATCATTGGACCAAGTGACCCCTGTGATAGAAATGAAAATGTGAAAAAAATCAGTAAGTTTATATACCCTGAAATCACTAGATCTTTTAGCACTCTGGTGGAGCTTTTTAGGATAAGGAAGAGATACATATATATAGATTCAATTATGTATTTTCACTTCAAGATTGTGTATAAATATGTGATTTCTTGAAGACAATTGTATTAATACATCTATTGGGCATAACATTAGACAAATGCAGTAGGTTAGTCCAGCACCATAACTTTATGGGAATCTCTTGACTCAAGGGAGAACATGTCAGGGAGGGGTCTCTGTAGATTTTGGCAGGGAAGTCCCAACATAGAAGCAGCACAGATTATCCTCATTGACTGCCCTTTCTGCAATGATAAAGGTAAGTGTCAGTGATCATTTATGTTCAGTTGATACTTGATAATGAAGTATTCCAAGTACTCAAAGTGCTTTCTGAACCATCATACCCAAATGAATATTTTCTAGTAGTTTTAATTAGGGTATATTTTATGAAGTTCTGATTCAAAGGAAGTGTGTAAACTGTACATCTCTCAAGTAATCAGCATTAAATTAGCATGACTCCCCAAACCCCATTAGCTCTAGATAGGTCAGTTGTTCATGGTTTTATTAGAGATGAGACTACAGACTGTAGACACCTTCCTCATTACACTATTGTGCTCTCCTTGGTCACCCTTGCAGGCATGCTGGGGGGAACAGGGGAAATGGGGAGCCAGCATGAGGAGGCCTGAGTTCTGTTGCGGCTCGGCAAGTAGCCAGGCACTTCCCTTTCACTTTTAACTTTGATTTTTCTCTCAGTGAATTAGGATAAAATTAGGCATGACATTTGTTGTTGTTTATTCACTTTAAGCTTGTAATTGGAGCACTGTGAGCTTTCCCCCCTCATTAGTCTTACTATGGTTACAGGATCAGCTTACACTAGATCAGAGTTTCTTAAATTGTGGTGAAGTACTTTTTTATTTTTGTTTGTTCATGGTTTACTTTCATTCTGTTGTAAACTGATAAATTTGTAAAATTCAATAAAAATGAATTTTTAGCTGAGCACTGGGACTCGTGCCTATAATTCCAGTGCTTTGGGAGGCCAAGGTGGGAAGATGTCTTGAGGCTAGGAGTTTGAGACCAGCCTGGGCAACATAGTGAGACCCTACCTCTAAAATAATTTTTAAAAAATTACCCAAGCACTATGACTCATGTCTGTAGTCCCAGCTACTCAGGAGGCTGAGGCAGGAGGATCACTTGAGCCCAGGAGTTCAAGGTTACAGTGAGCTATGATCAAGCCACTGAACTCCAGGCTGGGCGTTAGAGGAAAACCCCATCTTTTAAAAAAATAACTTTTAGAAAAATGAAATAAAATATGTGAAAAATGTATTATGAGCTCACTTTATTAGATTTGACAAATATAAAATGCTCAGGCAAATTGGTAAAAGTCTCTACACAGCTATTCTCAGTTTTACTTCTTTGCTTGTCACAGCTTGGTAACAGAGGATTTTGGACCAATACTAGTCCATGGCCCACACTTTGAGCAGCAGTGCACTAGATGACAGTTTGTCACCCCTGCCAATTTGTCTGCTGTAGATGACAATGTTTAGGGTTGCTGGAGCAGAAGTGTGGACATCTGTGGGTCTGGAATACCAAACATAGGAAACTGAAGCCAGGATGGGAGTCAAGAATTAAGTTAACAAGTTTAAATAGGAAACAAATACTTTGTAAGAGGCAATGGTCCTAAAATACATCTCTGCACATTTGAAAATGCATCATTTGTGGCTTTATTTTGTAGTTTTGAGGGATTTTTGTCACTAAAATCAAACCATCTGAAGTGCTGATAAGAAGCCACATTCCCTAAACCTGTGGAAAATAGAGTCTCTGGAAAGGGAGCCCGGGAATTGCATTTAAAAAATAAGTCTCTCTTCTTCTTTCCCCAAGTAAATCTTGTATAGAGAGTTATTGCTGTGAGAATTTTAGTTGTGTGTATGTTTTAAACAAATGATGTAAAGGAAACAATTAACTACACTGTAATTTTTTCTCCTAGTTATATCAGAGGAAGAAAATGAGCTAGGGCTCTTTTTAAAGTTTCAAGCGGAACGAGATGCAACTCAAGCTGGCAAAATGATGGATGCCACTGGCAAGGCACTCTGTTCTTCAGCCAAGCAAAGGTTTACCATGGTTGTTCCTCATCTTGAATCTGTAGTCAGTCTGATAGTTTGGACATATGTACTTAAATTTTCATATTTGTAAAGATCACTGTTCAGCCTAATAAAGGGTTAAAGAAAAATATATTGCAGTGATATGTTTTGACACCTAATTCTTAATTACTAATTTTGTATTCAAAATAATTATTTAATGATTAATGTTCTTGATTGCTTAATTTCTAGAAATAGCCTTTAGGCCTCTATTTATTTTTCTTTTATTTCCCCTACAATCAGACAAGCATCAGTTATATCTCTCAACTGGTTTAATGTAACAGTCACAGAATAACTAACATCTTAAAAATGTATATTTTCTTTTTTTCAATTTCACTTTTTGATACTATACTGTAAATATATTGGTACTTTTTAAGTAGAAGAAATATTTTCTTCTTAATTGCATGCTTTCCAGTTATTATTTCAGTTTCTAATATAATGATACCTGCTGCAAAGAATCTCCTATAATTACTAAACATAGCCCAAATCTTTGTATTTAAGAAGAAGAATAAAACCGTCCCTATCAGACCTATAATAATGATGTACAGCTTAAGATAGCTTTACTCTGAAACATCACATCAGTGCAAAAGCCTATCTCGAAGGAAGTGACATGAGGTACTAAGTACAGGGGCCTTCAATGCCACTAAGCCAAAAGCAGAGCAGAGGAATTAGATTTAATTTGTTTTTTTAAAAGATACTTGTTATCTTGTCCTCATCCTCAGCTGCTAAGAACTCCATACTCATTAGTTCTCCTAGCATCTTATCTGCTCTTCCAAACCCAGGTTTTCCCTGAACTTGTCAAATGAAGGCTTTCTGTTCATTGGATTATGTTTTATGAATGCAGGTTCTCCGTTCCCCTCAGAACTGTTCTCTAAATGGCAGATTTACTGGCCAGGTTACTTATACATGAAATAACATCCAAAGTATTGCAAAAATGACATATTTCCTAAAGTAACAAGTGGGGAGGTGTAGACACATTTTTTTTTTTTTTTTGAGATGGAGTTTTTTTCTGTTGCCGAGGCTGGAGTGCACTGGCACAATATCGGCTCACTGCAACCTCCACCTCCCAGGTTCAAGCGATTCTCCTGCCTCAGCCTCCTGAGTAGCTGGGATTACAGGCACTAGCCATGCCTGGCTAATTTTTCGTATTTTTAGTAAAGATGGGGTTTCACCATGTTGGCCAGGCTAGTCTCAAACTCCTGATCTCAGGTGATCTGCCCGCTTCCCAAAGTGCTGGGATTACAGGCGTGAGCCACCGTGTCCGGCTGTCACATCTTTATTGATAACTCAGAGTTGGTTATATGATCCTAATTTTCTTTCTAAATCTCCTTAGGGAACTTACTAATTTTTTACTTGTAGATTCATCTTGTTAGCAAATATGCTTTATCATTGGTTTAAACCTTTGTTTTGTTTTACTTATGATGTGTTCAACCCCCTGATTTTTACCTCTCTGCCATTAGATTGGCCCTGTGTACTCCTTTGTCTCGTCTGAAACAAGAAGTAGCAACATTCAGTCAAAGGGCGGTATCTGATACCTTGATGACAATTAATCGGATGGAGCAGGCGCGCACAGAATACAGAGGAGCTCTGCTGTGGATGAAAGATGTATCCCAAGAGCTGGACCCAGACACCTTAAAGCAAATGGAAAAGTTTAGAAAAGTATGAAAATGTATCCCTTTCCTTTTCTTGGTGTATGAAATACGGAACTGCCGTAGAATAATTTAATTAAGATCATAAAATTTCAGATGTTTTTTGAGAAATATATGTTTCATTATAAATTCTTGGAGACTGTAATTGAAGTACAAAAGTTTGTCACCCTTTTATTTTTACTCCTGGAGTGACATCTTCACACCATCTACCTTTTTTATTAATTTTTTTATCCCTCTCATGATAGATCTAAATTACCTATTAAATGTTGCTTGCTTGGACTTCTGAGATTCATTTGCAGGAAGAAAATAGTTTATTACAGAAGGACAAAAGTAATTTAAGTAAAAACTCATGTAAAATGATTGTTAGTTATAAGAAAATATGAAGGTTATCAAAATTTTTGTTTGGTCATAATTCAAAGTTTGGCCACAAACTAAAATAAATAAAAAATGTATAAACATACATTTTTGCTAAATAAACTTTGGATTACAAATTATATCCCCTAATTTTGCCATACATAATAAAATTCATTTTTTCATTCATTTCATAAATATTTAGAGAACCCATAATAAATATCATAATATTTAATATTGATGGAGCCAGGACTTTTGGGCCAGCTCTTCAGTGGTTTGCCTCATTGATTACACACAACAGCCGTATGAAGTAGGTGAATACATGGCCTCAGGCCACCCGACCTCATATTCCACTCCTTTTACAATCTTTGACAGTGAGAATACAGTCCAAGGAAGTGACTGAACGACATTGTGAATGCACTAAATGCACTGAATTGAAAACTTTAAAATTGCTAATTGTATGTTACGCGACTTTCACCTCGATTTTTAGAATAATGTATTAGTCTGTTTTCATGCTGCTGATAAAGACATAATTGAGACTAGGTAGATAAGGAGATTTAATTGACTTACAGTTCCACGTTGCTGGGGAGGCCTCAATCATGGCGGAAGGCAGGGAGGAGCAAGTAAGTCATGTCTTATATGGATGGTGGCAGGCAAAAAGAGAGAGCTTATGCAGGGAAACTACCCATTTTAAAACCATCAGATCTTGTCAGACTTACTCTCATGAGAACAGCACAGGAAAGACCTGCCCCCAATTCAATTATCTCCTACTGGGTCCGTCCCATAACACATGGGAATACAAGATGAGTTTTGGGCAGGGACACAGCCAAACCATATCAAATAGAATCCAAGTCCCTATCTGGACCCCCAAAACCCTGTATGGCCTGATCCCTGATCCCTGGTCCCTCCACAGCCATACTTTGTACTTGCTTTCTATACTCCAGGAAGAATGTGCTGTACCCACTTCCTTCTTGTTCTTCTAACATGATAAGGTCTTCACCACCTCCCACTCTCAGGACCTTTGTCCTTGCTTGTCCCTGGTTCTGGAATGCTCTCCCCAGGGTCTTAGCTTAGCCTGCTTATCTTTCTGTTGCAGTCCAAACATCATGCATGATCTCACCAAGGACCTCCATGTCATTTTATTAAAGGTAGTCAGTTACTCATTTCTGCAACCTGAGATTATCTTATATATTTATGTACTTCTTTTTTCCCTGTGCCTCCTACCCAAGGATGGTGGGGAAGAACATTGTTTTGCTCATCACAATGTCTCAGTGCCCAGAACGCTGCCTTGCATATAATAGGTACCTTAACTTTTTATTAATTCATTCAACAAATATTTGAATATTTGTTGAATGAATTATTATATTAAAAAGTTGACTATTCACATTACCCAATGACATGACTCACCATTTATTCAAGAAATGTAATAGGCCTCTACTAAAATGTATAAATATCTGTATGGTTCAGAAATATTACTAATGTTTCTCAGCATTTTAATGAGGTCCCTTTCCATTTATTCTTTGGCTGTTAGCTAAGTGCTATCCATGAACACTTTTAGATGTTCTTTTTTTATATGGAATACTTTTTAAAAAACTATGTACTTTCCATCTATTATCTCATACTTTCTCAGCATAAAGATACCTTCTGGAAAGAATCCCTACAATTACTACAGTTGCCAAAATCTTCATCATTACTCATGAAATATTAACGATACAGGGAAAAGTAATTAGTCTTTATTATAATTTATTTCTGAAAACATGAACCTGTATACTATATTTATATCTGTAATAATATATTTATGCTATATATCTATAATACAAATTAGCATTTTTATTGCAGGTACAGATGCAAGTGAGAAATAGCAAAGCTTCTTTTGACAAGTTAAAGATGGATGTTTGTCAGAAAGTGGATTTACTTGGAGCTAGTCGCTGCAATATGCTATCTCATTCGCTCACTACCTACCAGGTACCCACCTCCATGATCAGCATGCCCTTGCAGTAAAGATGAGTGGTGAGATTCCTTTTTAAAAGTTGTCTAAAGGGTGCAGAAAATTTTGCGTGATTAGATTCCTTTGGCTTTGCTATAATTGCTTTATTTGCTATATATTTGCTATAATTGCTTTATTATCTCTCAAAGTCAGAGAGTCATAAAGTTCTGGAAAAGACCTTAGAGATTGTCTGCTTCTGTAGCTTTTCTCTTTGGTGTCATAGAAGAGAGAGAGACCTATGGACCATTTGAGGTTGAAGAGGAGAATGTTGAAGAGGCAAATTCTAAGGCCCATTTGCCCTGATTTAACCAGAGTTGTTCCACTTCTGGATTTGAAGTTCTATATACAATTTCATCTGAAGCAAAGATGCTGTGCCCCCAAAAGTTTAAAAACTTTTCTGTTGTTTTATGGATGAGGAAAATGACACCTATGAGAATTAAACTGAGAGGCAATGTTGAGCTTAGAAACCAAAGTTTTCTAATTCTGGATTATGTGTTCTTTTCATTCTGCCAAGTTGCCTTCCCATATCACTTTAACCTCAGAAGTTTCACTTGTGCTTATGTTACTATACATCACATATAAATAACACACAATGAATAAGTTAGATATTAATAAATAGCAGTTATTGATTTTTACATATATTTTAAATAGAAAAAATGGAATAAACTGTACTTAAGAAAAGAGTAATAAACTATAGGAAATGGACATTCACGCCTGCTTTTAGGGAGTCTGCCTATTTCAGTTCAATTCTGTGGGATTCAGGAATGGAGAAAGGATGTACTTCAAAATAACAGTGTGTGATATCTGTTTAGCATCTTGCCTGAAGCATACTAGCTATGAGTTCAGTTCTTCTTTATTCTCTCCATTCTTCCCCCTCACTTTAATCAGGAACCTTGAAGCAGCAAGGAAAATTTTCAATTACTTGAGTTAGCTTGAGAACATATTTTTTAGGCAAATCTTTCTTGAACTCTAGATGAAAGGCCAGATTTAGTGGTAAATGGAATTTTTCTCCAATTAAAAAATGTTTATATATTCCCATTAACATAAAGATTACACATATGCCCCTCCTTTTATAGAGATTGGTATTTTTGCGCTTTTAACATTTCTCTCTTTAATACCTCAGATGTTCTAATCCTTCAGTTTTCATTCTCTTAGCTGCAATCACTCTCTAGGTGGCTTCAGTGTGCATTCCTGTACTGTTTATACAGACAACCCCCACTCGTGCAGACACAGATACCAATTCTAATGCAAAATGACTATTTGTAGTGCTTTATGCTTCCCCAAACTTGGAAAACTGAATTTAGTTCCTGCTTCTTATTATTTGGCAACTGTTCATCTACTAAACTAGTAAGGAAATACAGCACTTAAAAAACCATGGAGGGGAATCAGAACTGTAGAGTCACCTTTTCTTTTTTTGCAGAGAACACTGCTTGGATTCTGGGAGAAAACAGCTCGAATGATGTCCCAAATTCATGAAGCCTGTATTGGCTTTCATCCATATGATTTTGTAGCTCTCAAGGTACATTGTGTTCCATATTCTCTTGTTTAGTTGTATTACACTTCATTTGGGTGATAACATTGAAACTTTTTTTTTTTTTTTTTTTTACCAAGGTTAATTTAAAATTACAAAACATTGAGAAACATTTTCCTTCAGCCAAGGATCAGCATGTTCCTAATTGCAAATGCTGCCAGCAACACTGAAATACATAGGAATACTGTTGGCAGGCTCAAGATAGTAGTAAGACAGGGAGAAAGAGGGGAGAACTTGAAAAAATTTAAATGCAAAAGAGATAAGAAAAGGCTATGGAAAGGAAAAGTTTAAGAGGAACAAGTGATGGAAAGTGGTCATGTTCTCAAAAATGACCAGACTATCTACCTGAAAATATTAAAAGTTGGAGAAAAACTTTACTGTTTTACTTTTACACCCTTGTCATAGATATAATTCATGATACCAACATTATGCCAGGTTTCAGTACCTTTTAACTTACCATTCATTCTGCCTTACTTTCAGTAAAGCTTGAAAGCGTTGATGGCTGGTTGTTCAAGCTGAATGTGGTATTTGTGATAGGCTCATATCTTACATATTCCTAGGGTTTAGGAAGGATGCTAAAGTCATGTTCTGACACGGCATCTTCCAGCCCCAAAGATGCCCTTGAATTAGGTTGTTTTTTGTTTTGTTTTGTTTTTACTTTTTCTGTAATAAATGTTTCACTGTATGGCATAGTACATATTTAGGCACATTTTATATCCAATTTCTGCTCAGAATCAAAATTGAAAATCTTTAGCTGTATTTAGAGCATTGCAATACAGGCCAGCAACACAGTTTAAGTCTTTGTTAGGCCTATTACAAAGTTGTTAAAATAATCCGTGGCTACCCTACATCACAGTATGTACAGTTTACACAGGAAGCCAGGAGAAACAAGTACTTGGAGCTCAGTAGCTCAGTTCAGATTACATTAGGATACATGTCCTATATCTTTCACTTTCTAGTTCAGAACTTCCTATTTCATATGATTCTTTAGAATTTTTTTTTCTCATTTTCTTTGCAGACAGGAGGAAACATTCTTTCTATCTACTTAACATTGACTTTCTTATCCTTAGCAACTACAAGGCACTCCAAGCAAGCTTAGTGAAGACTATAAAGAAGAACAAATAGGCGGTTTTCTTACTGAACACCTCAATAAGTAAGCAGGCATAAGTCATATGTGTCATGCTATAGAAATCCTTGATAGTATCATATGATATATGTGGAAAGAATTGTTTTTTCTCTTACTGAATATTTATTTCTGTGTCATTTTTCCTTTATTTTTTGAGATGGAGTCTCACTCTGTTGCTAGGCTGGAGTGCAAGTGGCATGATCTTGGCTCACTACAATCTCTGCCTCCTGGGTTCAAGCAATTCTTCTGCCTCAGCCTGCTGAGTAGCTGGGACTACAGGCGCCCACCACCATGCTCCGCTAATCTTTTTTGTTTTAGAAGAAATGGGGTTTCACCATATTGGCCAGGATGGTCTTTATCTCCTGACCTCGTGATCTGCCTGCCTTGGCCTCCCAAAGTGCTGGGATTACAGGCGTGAGCCACTGCCCCTGGCCTCTATGTCATTTTTCCAATCAACACTAAACATTTGGGTCATAGTCTGTTTTGTGTTCCTGTAACAGAATACCTGAGACAGGGTAATTTATAAAGTAAAGAAGTTTAGCTCATGGTTCTGCAGGTTGGGAAGTTCAAGAGTATGGCCCTGGTTTCTGGTGAGGGCTTTAGTGCTGCTTCATAACATGGTAGAGAAAGCCAAAGGGGAAGCAGACCTGTGTGAAGAGGCAAAATCAAGGGATGTGCTGGCTGTATAACAACCCATTCAGAAGCATTCCTGAGAGAACTAATCCAATCTCATAGGAGTGAGAACTCACTCATTACCATGAAAAAGGCACCAAACCATTCCTGAGGGATCTACCCCATGACCCAAATACCTCTTGCTAGGTCTCTACCTCCCAATACTCCCATGTTGAGAGGTTGGAGTCAAATTTCAACAAGAGTTTTGATGAGGAGAAATTCAAACCTTAGCAATTTGTTTTAAAACTTTATGTATTTTTCCCCATTTTTTTCTTAATATCCAGATCCTGCACAACTTTTTTTCCATTTTCTAACATAGCAGGCAAAGGACATGACAGGAGTATCAAACTGATTGGGGTGATTAAGAGTCTGTCATTTGGGATATTGAGCCTTGTATTAAGAGCCACAAGTTCCTCTAGTGACTCTTGAAAGGGGCAGCTTGAGAGAAGAAAGGGACAGGTACCCACAGCTCTGAAATAAACTGTTAAAAATCTGTTTCCAGAATAACACACATAGGACTGGGACTGGTTACCTGAAAATAGAGGCTCTTGCCAGTACATCCTTCATGTCACCTGTTTCCCTTTTATTATATTATATTGTCCCTTTGTTTTTATTTCAAAGCTGCTATTCTTATTTTAACCAGATTCAATATATTAACAAACTCAGAAATAAGGGCCAAACAACTTTCAATACTAGCACCTGTGAGGTCAGGCCCCAGGTATAGTGACTATGTCTGTGTTCAGTTTCTTTGGCTTAACTTTTTCTTTATTAGGCAGATGCTATGAATATCCAAAATTAGTATTGACTGAGGTTATTTTAGGCTAATGTGTCTTGCAAACATCACTTTGTTGTTCAAAATAGGGTACTCCATCTTTCCTGGAGTTCCTCATTCCCTTGATTTAGTTGCCAAGTGTTCTTAAAACCTTTCAAGACTTGAAAATGAAACTTCTTACTCTATGGCTTTGGTGGTGAAGGTTCTTGAAGATTGAGTACTTAACACTGTGCCTACAGTGCTGAGCATGATGCCTAGTGCTTTGTAGATATTCAGTAAGTGTTTATTGAAGGAATAAGGGGTGAAAGGTCTGTGTAGATTTATAGAAGAAGAAGGAAATTCAGCAGACGTAGATTTTAGGGGATCTAGTGGAAAATGATTTTATGTTTCCTGAGTAAAAACATTTTTTTAATTATGTAAAACTGTTTGGGGAATATGAATCGCAAATGTATTATAACCAAAAATCCACATTTTTGTTTGTTTGTTTTATTTCAGGCTAGTTTTGTCTGATGAGGAAGCAAGCCTGGAGAGTGAACAAGGTAAGATGATAAATTTATTACTTTGAAATGGTCACATTTTAAATGTCAAAATAGTTTATCACAGCCTTTTAGTAGAGACAGGGCTTCACCATGTTGGCCAGTCTGGTTTCGAACTCCTGACTTGAAGTGGTCCGCCCACCTCAGCCCAGTATCGCTATAATGGATATTATGTTACTATCCATTCAATTAACAGAACAGGCTAAGTAAGTACCTTCTGGGGGAATACCTTTTGTTATCTTTCTAAAAGTACCTAATCAGAGGATCTAATAGTCTTCTTTAGGGAATCAGGATTCTCAAAAATAGGTACATTTTTATTTTTTTAATTTTTGAGCTTTGAAATGTTTTATGGGTACATAGTAGGTATATATATTTATGGGGTAGCTGAGATATTATGAAACAAGCATATAATGCATTATAATCTCATCAGGGTAAATGAGACATCTGTCACTCCAGCATTTATCATTTCTTTGTGTTACAAATATTTTAATTATATTATTTTAGTGATTTTTAAATGTACAATAAATTATTGTTGACTGGAGTCACCCTGTTGTGCTATCAAATACTCAATCTTATTCTATCTAACTATATGTTTTTGTACCTATTAATCATCTCTGTTGCCCACCACTAACTTTCTCAGCCTCTGGTAAACATCCTTGTATTCTCTATCTCCATGTGTTCAGTTGTTTTAATTTTGAGCTCCCACAAATAAATGAGAACATACAAAGTTTGTCTTTCTGTGCCTAGCTGATTTCACTTACAATTATATCCTCTACTTCATTCCATGTTGTTGCAAATGACAGGATCTCATTCTTTTTAAAATTTTGTTATTATGATTACACTTTACGTTCTAAGATACAAGTGCAGAATGTGCAGGTTTCTTACATAGGTATACACGTGCCATGGTGGTTTGCTGCACCCATCAACCTGTCACCTACATTAGGTATTTCTCCTAATGCTATCCCTCCCCTCCACCCCTCTACCCCACAACAGGCCCTAGTGTGTGATGTTCCCCTCCCTCTGTCCATGTGTTCTCATTGTTCAATGCCCACTTATGAGTGAGAGCATGCAGTGTTTGGTTGTCTGTTAGTTTGCTGAGAATTATGGTTTCCAGTTTCAACCATGTCCCTGCAAAGGACATGAACTCCATGGTATATATGTGCCACATTTTCTTTATCCAGTCCATCATTGATGGGCATTTAGGTTGGTTCCAAGTCTCTGCTATTGTGAACAGTGCTGCAATAAACATACATGTGCATGTGCCTTTATAGTAGAATGATTTATAATGCTTTGGGCATATATCCAGTAATTGCTAGAACCAAATGGTATTTCTGATTCTAGATCCTTGAGAAACTGCCACACTGTCTTCCACATGGTTGAACTAATTTACACTTCTATCAACAGTGTAAAAGCATTCCTGTTTCTCCACATCCTCTCCAGCATCTGTTGTTTCCTGACTTTTTAATGATCTCCATTCTAACTGGCATGAGATGGTATCTCATTGTTGTTTTGATTTGCATTTCTCTAATGACCAGTGATGATAAATTTTTTTTCATGTTCATTAGCTGCATAAATGTCTTCTTTTGAAAAGTGTTTGTTCTTACTGGGCATGGTGGCTTACACCTGTATTCCTAGCACTTTGGGAGGCCAGGATGGGTGGATCATGAGGTCAGGAGATCGAGACCATCCTGGCTAACATGGTGAAACCCCATCTCTACTAAAAATACAAAAAATTAGCTGGGCGTGGTGGCACACACCTGTATCCCAGCTACTTGGGAGACTGAGGGAGGAGAATTGCTTGAACCCGGGAGACAGAGGTTACAGTGAGCTCAGATTGCGCCACTACAATCCAGCCTGGGGAACAGAGTGAGACTCCCATCTCAAGAAAAGAAAAGAGAGAGAGAGAAGTGTCTGTTCATATCCTTCACCCACTTTTTGATGGGGTTGTTTGTTTTTTTCTTGTAAATTTGTTTAAGTTCTTTGTAGATTCTGGATATTAGCCCTTTGTCAGATGGATAGATTGCAAAAATTTTCTCCCACTCTGTAGATTGCCTGTTCACTCTGATGATAGTTTCTTTTGCTGTACAGAAGCTCTTTAGTTTAATTAGATCCCATTTGTCAATTCTGGCTTTTCTTGCCATTACTTTTGGTGTTTTAATCATGAAGTCTTTGTTCATGCCTGTGTCCTGAATGGTATTGCCTAGGTTTTCTTCTAGGCTTTTTTTTTTGCCAAGGCCATCATAAATCATCTGATGATCTCTAGGGTTTTTATGGTTGTAGGTCTTACATTTAAGTATTTAATCCATATTGATTAATTTTTATATAAGGTATAAGGAAGGGATCCAGTTTCAGTTTTCTGCATATGACTATCCAGTTTTCCCAACATCATTTATCAAATAGGGAATCCTTTCTTCATTGCTGTTTTTGTCAGGTTTGTCAAGTATCAGACAGTTGTAGGTATGTGGTGTTATTTCTGAGGCCTCTGTTCTGTTTTATTGGTTTATATATCTGTTTTGGAACCAATACAGTGCTGTTTTGGTTACTGTAGCCTTGTAATACAATTTGATGTCAGGTAGTGTGATGCCTTCAGCTTTGTTCTTTTTGCTTAGGATTATCTTGGCTATACGGGCTCTTTTTTGGTTCCATATAAAATTTAAAGTAGTTTTTTCTAATTCTGTGAAGAAGGTCAATGGTAGCTTGATGAGGATAGCATTAAATATATAAATTACTTTGGATAGTGTGTCCATTTTCACGATATTGATTCTTCCTATCCATGAGCATGGAATGTTTTTTCATTTGTTTGTGTCCTCTCTTATTTCCTTGAGCAGTGGTTTGTAGTTCTTGAAGAAGCACTTCACATCCCTTGTAAGTTGTATTCCTAGGTATTTTATTCTCTTTGTAGCAATTGTGAATAGGAGTTCACTCAACATTTGGCTTTCTCAGCTGGGTGCGGTGGCTTACACATATAACCCCAGCATTTTGGGATCGCCTGAGGTCAGGAGTTCGAGAACAGCCTGACCAACATGGAGAAACCCCATCTCTACTAAAAATACAAAATTAGCTGGGCGTGGTGCATGCCTGTAATCCCAGCTACTCAGGAGGTTGAGGCAGGAGAATTGCTTGTTGCTTTAACCTGGGAGGCGGAGTTGCAGTGAGCCGAGATTGTGTCATTACACTCCAGCGTGGGCAACAAGAGCGAGACTGCGACTCAAAAACAAACAAACAAAAGATTTGGCTTTCTGTTTGTCTATTATTGGTTAATAGGAATGCTTGTGATTTTTGCTCATTGATTTTTGTATCCTGAGACTTTGCTGAAGTTGCTTATCAGCTTCAGGAGATTTTGGGCTGAAATGATGGTGTTTTCTAAATATACAATCATGTCATCTGCAAATAGAGACAATTTGACTTTCTCTCTTCCTATTTGAATACCCTTTATATCTTTCTCTTGCCTGATTGCCTTGGCCAGAACTTCCAATTCTATGTTGAATAGGAGTGATGGGAGAGGACATCCTTGTCGTGTGCCAGTTTTCAAAGGGAATGCTTCCAGCTTTTGCCCGTTCAGTATGATATTGGCTGTGGGTTTGTCATAAATAGCCCTTATTATTTTGAGATATGTTCCATCAGTACCTACTTTATTGAGAGTTTTTAGCATGAAGGGTATTGAATTTTGTCAAAGGCCTTTTCTGCATCTATTGAGATAATCATGTGGTTTTTGTCATTGGTTCTGTTTATGGGATGGATTATGTTTATTGATTTGCATATGTTGAACCAGGCTTAAATCCCAGCAATGGAGCCAACTTGATCATGGTGGATAAACTTTTTGATGTGCTACTGAATTTGATTTTCCAGTATTTTATTGAGGATTTTTGCATCGATGTTCATCAAGGATATTGGCCTGAAATTTTCTTTTTTCATTGTGTCCCTGCCAGATGTTGGTATCAGGATGATGCTGGCCTCATAAAATGAGTTAGAGGGAAGTCATTCTTTTTCTGTTGTTTGGAATAGTTTCAGAAGGAATGGTACCAGCTCCTGTTTGTACCTCTGGTAGAATTCAGCTGTGAATCCATCTGGTTCTGGGCTTTTTTTTGGTTGGTAGACTATTAATTATTACCTCTATTTCAGAACTTGTTATTGGTCTATGCAGGGATTCAGCTTCTTCCTGATTTAGTCTTGGCAGGGTATGGGTCCAGGAATTTATCCATTTCTTCTAGATTTTCTAGTTTATTTGCATAGAGGTGTTTATAGTATTCTCTAATGGTAGTTTGTATTTTTGTGGGATCAGTGGTGATATCCCTCTATTATTTTTTATTTTGTCTGTCTGATTTTTCTCTCTTCTTCTTTCTTAGTCTGGCTAAGCAAGTGGTCTATCTATTTTGTTAGTCTTTTCAAAAAACCAACTTATAGATTCATTGATTTTGTGTGTGTGTGTCTCTATCTCCTTCAGTTCTGCTCTGATCTTAGTTATTTCTTGTCTTCTGGTAGCTTTTGAATTTCTTTGCTCTTGCTTCTCTAGTTCTTTTAATTATGATGTTGGGTGTCAATTTTAGATCTTTACTGCTTTCTTCTTTGGGCATTTAGTGCTATAAATTTTCCTCTAAACACTGCTTTGGCTGTGTCCCAGAAATCATGGTAGGTTGTATCTTTGTCCTCATTGGTTTCAAGGAACTTATTTATTTCTGCCTTAATTTTGCTATTTATCCAGTAGTCATTCAGGAGCAGGTTGTTCAGTTTCCATGTAATTGTATAGTTTTGAGTGAGTTTCTTAATCCTGAGTTCTTTTGATTGCACTGTGGTCTGAGAGGCTGTTTGTTATGATTTGCATTCTTTTGCATTTGCTGAGGACTCTTTTAGTTCCAATTATCTGATCATTTTTTTGAATACGTGCTATGTGGCACTGAGAAGAATGTATATTCTGTAGGTTTTGGTTGGAGAGTTCTGTAGATGTCTTTTAGGGTCTGCTTGGTCCAGAGCTAAGTTCAAGTCCTGAATATCCTTGTAAATGT